GCCAGCTCGCTGATCCGCCAGAAGCGGCAAGCTCGCGAGCGCGAGAAATCCAACGCCTGCAAGTGTGTCAGCAGCCCCAGCAAAGGCAAGACCAGCTGCGACAAAAACAAGTTAAATGTCTTTTCCCGGGTCAAACTCTTCGGCTCCAAGAAGCGGCGCAGGAGGAGACCAGGTCGGAAGGGGCGCTTGGCTTTATTTCTTTATTTCTTTTACCAGGGACCCCCCCCCTTACTTTGCAAGTGTGGAGGGGAATGAAACTGGGACGGGGGCTGGGGAGTTAGCAGGTGGCCCGTCCTGTGCCAGTGAGGCCACCTAACCACCTAGCTGGTGGTGTGCCTTTGTGGGAAGGCGATTGCTTGCTCCTCAGGGACTTACTGCATTGCTACTGCCCTGGGACAGGCAAAGAGCCGGTCGGAAATCCCCTGCCCCAGAGGTGCCCATGGCTTCAAGCATGCCATGCGTGCTGGGCAGGCGGGACCCAGACATGGCTGTCGTGTGCGTGGCTTGGAAATTGCCAGCGCGGAGCTGGCCAGACGCTACTTAGCCCAGGAGAGCCGGGGGAATCCCTCTCTCGCCTTCCCCAGCCTGCCTGCCTGACCCTTCCTTCTGCTGCAGCAGTCTTTCCCAGGGGCTGTGGGCTTTGACTGTCTAGGCAGCCCTGTGATCACTTTGAGGCTTATCAGGACCGATGTGTGATGCAGCTTTCAAATGTTCCCACTGGTGGGTGGAGGGGAGTGGGGCTTCCGAGAGCCTTGTGGCAAAGAGCTTGGGTGGATTGAGTTAGGCTGGTGGGACTAAGCATACTTGCTATGAAAATGCAGGGCTGAGGGGGGAATCCAAACTCCTAAGCTGATTGTCTCTGGCGCCTTGGGACCTAGTCACTGATATTCTGGCATTCAGGGACATTCACACAGCTCTAGGTGGCAGGTTGCGTCAAGGTAGACCTTTCTGAAAATGTCCAGCTTCTTTGGCTGTTCTTAACACAATGAATCCTCCCTATTCGTTTCTTGCCCATGACTAGATAAATATTGTGGAAAATCAGACTTCTCCATTGATCAGTCTGCCGTTTCTCTTTTTGTGTGTACTGCCCCCAGGCCAGAATTGGAATGTAGGCATGCCTTTTCTGTTTGCACAAAGTTCTTAATGCATTGACTCTGAATTAAGCTTGTTTTTAAAAGGCTCCTGAGGTTGAGAAGCATGATAATGTGACTTGAATAATCAGAGAAATATGATTTCAGAGCAGGTGTCTGTATTCAGTAGAGAGCACATCTTGGAAAACATGGCTGTTACTGGTAAATTAGGTAATTGATTATTGACAGTGGTTAATAATTGAAAATGATTTTAATTAGTAACACGTAGTTGAAGGAATCTGAATGGTGATAATTAAGTTTGAAGATGAGTATGAACTCATTTGTTCTCTTCCTCACCGAGTTGGGGTGGGGGGGCAAAACCAAAAATTTCTGCTCTTTTTGGCACCCTATTTGGTGTGCTGGTGGGTTTTTGTTTTTTTTTTAATGATGCCTCCCACTACTTCTTGTGTCGAAGGCTCAATTTCCTCAATGTTAGTCCTTTGATGGCGTTTCAGGCTAAGTGTGCATTCTCAAGCTGCTTGGAATGGAGGGGACTCTTCATTCAAACGGTGGTAGTTCTGATGAATACCTTGGGAAATGGGTTTTTGGTCCCTGATTGGCAAAGAACTCAAAATTATCTTTGTATTTTTCCTTTTCTTGCCACCTGAAAAAGGGGTACTTTGCTAAAAAGGCAGAATATGCCAACCCATTCCGAATGCACAGTGAGATAGAGTCAGCCTAGTAAGGATGCTCCCAGAAGCTCTCTGAGGCTCTGGGGCTTTCCCAAGGGTTCGAGGAAGAAAGCAAATGTGTCTTCTATGTGGAGATGTATTCTGAAATTTGGGGATTTTGTTTGCTTGCTTGCCTCCTTCCAGAAGACTCTTTAAGACAGGCATAATCTGACCGTTTTCTAGGCCAATTTGTACATGAAAATGGATATGCTGAATTTGGAGTCTTTTTTTCTTTGATCTATGCCCACTACCCCAATTGATCCAAGCCATTGTGCTTCTTTGCAGAACCTCAGCTGAAGGGTATAGTTACCAAACTGTACAGCCGACAAGGCTACCACTTACAGCTGCAGGCTGATGGAACCATTGATGGCACCAAAGACGAGGACAGCACTTACAGTAAGTGACGGCAAAGGGAAATGGCCATCCTAGCATGCTATTGATACTGTGTTCTTGTCATGTATTCCGTTTCTAATAAACAGCCCAAGCCAGACCTGAAGAGGACTCGAACTCTAGTCAGACTACAGAATCATGTTTACACAGGCTATCCTGAAGGAAGCAGAACAGGAAAATAGCCCAAATCGTGAACTATTGCAAATATTGTTGACAGCATCTGAGGGAACAGTCCAAATGTCATCTCCATGGTGATCTGGAGAGATTTATGGCTGTCCTTTGGATTTTTATTACTTTCCCCCACCCCATAGAACGTTACAACCCCCCCCCCCCCCACTCACGGAGCCTGAAATAGCTCTTATCTCCACTCTTGAGAACTGCTCATATCCCAAGGGAGAGGAACTTTTCATGATAGGGGGGATTCCTCACTAGAGGCTTTCACTTCTCTTCCCCCCACCCAGCCCCCAACTCCCACCCAGTATCAGTGGCCTAATTGGGATTTTAACTTGGGAACTTTCAACAGAGCTCCAGGTGGGTAAGGACATTCCATGGAGTGCTTTCTTTGTGCCCCTTGTTTAAGTAAAGATCAGGTTGACCATCACAATGGGGCACCTACAGAGGAAAGAGATCAAAAGGAAAGGCAGCTTTATGTTTAATTTGAAGTCAAGCCATTTCCTGATGCCACATAAGCTTTTATTGCTGATGCAGTATGGGTTCAGAGTCGCAAAAGCATACCCTCACTCATAGTGGACCCCAGGTTTCGCTGGCAAGGACTGGTATTTTCTGGTAAGCTGCAGCTTCTTGCAGATCTAAAGCACTTAGTTGTCACCATTCCGTCTGTGTTTCCCCCAATATGCACTGTATTTTCCCCAGATTTTGCACATTTCTTAGAGATGCTCAGGGAAAGCAACCTAGAAGAGGAGGTCTGAATTCTAAAGAGTACTGTGCGGTACGGCCCACAGGATCCCAGTGGGAAGTGTCAAAGTGTTTCATGCCCTTTAGGAATGCTTCCTGGGCAAATGGCCAAACAGTGACCTCAAGAGGCAGTCACCTTCAGTTGTCCTTCAAGAAAGCTCTGTTGGTACCTCAGCTGCAAACCTGGTTCTTCACTGTTTTGCACAGTGCTCTCTTATGGTTGTGGTATTGTTAATTCATACTCTTCTGTTTCAAAGAATTCGGCAATTGTAACTGGAAGGTTTCACTGTACTGAAGGAGCCCCAGTTAACCATTGGCCACTCCTCCACTCTGCAAGCAGCTCAGAAAGATGAAGCCCTTGGTTTCCAGAAAGATATATAGCCTCAGAAACACAAGAGAGTAGTTTGACCCTGTCCGATTGGGGGTTTTGCAATAGAATGGACTTGAGGGCAGTGCCCTGGGTCATGTGTGTGTCCTGAAGAAGGAAAAACGAGGCAACTCCGTGATTTGTTGTGTCTTGTAAACAGTGATATACCAAACTCAATTCAGGTCACACTGTATTTGTCATCTATATGAGGGTGCTTCAAAAAGTTCACAGGGAAATATAATGAAAAGTTAACGAACATTTTCCATGAACCTTTTAAACCCCCCTGTGTGTGTGTATACACACAAATATATAGGAGTATATATAATTATAAAGGTGACTCACAAAGAACATATAAAAACTTTATTTTTTGATTTCATGTCCATGAACTTTTTGAAGCCTCTTTTTAGAGTGTACATTATGTGTGTGTACATATGTGTGTACATATAATATACATATTTAGGAGATTTAATATCTAGTTATAATATACATCTAAAATAATATATAATAATACAGACCATACATAGTCCCCTAAAATATTTATATTATGTAAATATATGTGTAGATGTATATAGATAAAAGGGCTTCCAAAAGTTTATGGAAACTTATCATTATCTTTCAATTCCATTGTTCCATGAACTTTTTGCAGTCCCTTCTATATCACACACTAACACAGGGGATATCCATTCTTCCTGTAGAGTTTTAAATCGAAGAGTAGGTTTTGCCCCACCTTTGGTTATCGTGTAACCATGAATCAAGTGGCACAACATTTCTCTGCAGTAGTGATATTGAAAAGCCTTTCAAGGGCATAGCCTGAAGTACAGAATCTGGGCTTAGGCACACGGGAATAACAAGAGGTAAGTCCGCCAGCAGCACGACGCCACATACAACTGGAAAATATGTCGAATGAAATAGCATGTCCTTGGTGATTGACTGTACCCCTGCTGCGAGATGTGACCGCAGACCCCACCGGGTGGAAGTATGGGATAAGCATTAGGTTGCTAACCACAATGTCAGTGGTTCAAGCCCACTAGCCTCCCTCTGGGAGAAAGGGAAGACTGGAATCTTGAGAAGATTTACAGTCTCAGAAGCTAAGAAGCAGTTCAACACTGTCCTATCATCGGCTTGTTGTGAATCTACTCGATGGCGGTGGGTTTGGGGGAGCTCTTGCTTTCAGTTACGCAGTCTTTTTCCTAATATGTAGTCTTGGCATGAGGTGTCTTTCGATTCCTTGTATTTGTTAGTATTTAGAAATGTTTACTCCATTTATGCCTGCAGTTCCATTGCAGTGGTTTTAGGGTTTGCGTTTTGATTTTCTTGGACATCACAAGCAAGATCCTGAGCTAACAGATTAGTTCCGTTCCCATGTGGCCTGGTATATCCATTTCTAAAAACATATGTTTGATATTATGCATTTAAGCCAGCTTTATGCAGATTTATTACGGTGGTAAATGTCAGTCCAATAAAATCTCATCGTGGGCAAATCAGCCATCATAAATTATGCATTTTCCCCTGCAAGTGAAGCAGTGATAGACATTCTGTGGCTGGAGTTTTATTATACCTGCCTTGGTAAAAGGAAGACTGTTTCAAAAGGGTAGTTTACCCTTCTCCTTCAACCCTGACATAGCATTACCAGCTCAACACGACACCTCTTTCCAATCTACGTGAAGCTACACCCTTACCATCCATTTCCCTTGAGAAATTGATCTTGGGCCAGCCAATGAAGTAGTAGAAATTCAGCCTTGTAGTTGGCAAACACTGAGCACCGACTACATGTATGGCCCTGAGAAAATGGTCCCTCAACCTCCCTCATGCCACGACCCTTTATTACAGTTCCTCATGTTGTGGTGACCCCCCCCAACTATAAAATTATTTTCATTGCAATGTCATCACTGTCATTTTGCTACTGTTATGAATCAGGTGACCCCTGTGAAAGGGTCGTTCGATCCCCTAAGGGGCCACGGGCCACAAGTTGAGAACCGCTGCTATAGAGGCTTTAACATACAACAAATCAGAAATCCCGAGTCCTTCGTAGTTCCAAACCACTTCTTCACAACTGTGTCTGAAGTAGAAGAAGAAACGTTGGTTACTAATGAAGGGTTAAAGAAAAAACTCCCCCAAACACATTCAGCAATATTTAACATATGTTCATGCTGATCAAAATATCTTAAGTTCATGCATCAGTAAGTGATCCAGAGGCTTTTGAAACAAAGATCGAGAGGAGGCAAGCTTGCCCCTGATTGTTTTTCTTTTCATCTTTCCATAGGACTATCCGTTCTCAGAGACTTTCCCCCTTTATGATCTATTCTGAATATCTAAAGAAAATAAAAAAAATCAGACTGCTCTAAGCAGCCACTCTCCACTTTGGCTGCGCCTTTTAAGGTGTGGTTTCGGAATGGTGTTCGGTGGTTTGAATTGGGCTGCATCGAAATTCCTGATCGAGGGCCCAGCAGTCATGACTGATCTTCTCGGCTTCTCTTCCTCCTCGTTTTGTCTGATGTTTGGAAATTTCGACATTTCACTGCTCATTAAAACCCACACCAGAGTGTGGGTAGGAGCATAAGGTGAAAAATCCAATCAATCCCTCACTCTGTCTCTCTGTTTCGCTCTTTTGCTTATTACAAGCTGTGTTACGAGAGCTAAGATAGCTCAGAATATTGCAGAGAAATCTAATTCTAGCCTTAATTCTGAGAATTTCACTTTTCTGTCTCTGTCATCGATTACTCTGGCTACACGAGAATTCAAACATGTAGGGCTGGCCTAGTGCTGTGTAGAGATCCACTTCTGCAATCCAGCCTTACAGATGGCTGCGTTTTTTTGTTTTAATCAAATGATAAGCTCTGACCATTTTTTTAATATAGCGGGATTATGATCTGTTTCCAAAGATACATGATCAGGTTCTCCTCGCCCACGAGAGGGTGTGGCTTCATCAACAGAGAGAGCCCTGACCTGGTCAGGCCACACTCAAACATGTCAGCCTCTTCGCTGTGTACTGCTCTGTCAAATAGAGCTGGAGGGCCTGACTTGCAATCTGTACGAAGACTTCCCTTTATCTCACAGAACAGAAGGGCGCAGCTTTTAAGCTGATGAATAGCAAACGGAGTGCCGTTGGTGGCATGTGGTAGGCACACTTGCATTGGGGACTGTCCAATATGCTGGGCTCCTCTATGGTAGCACCCTGATTAATTTTTAGGGGGAAGCTCCATCGCTGGTTCACCAATGCATATGCAACTCTCCGTGAATATCAGCCCCCTCCTGCAGCCAGCTCTCAATGCACAGAGATAAAGGTGATCTTTCCCCACAGGGTGACTCCGTGCGTTCTCATTCACAGAAATGAGAGCCGACTGGTTTCTTATTCTCCACAAACTTTTACACACCGAGGGCGACAGCAACCACGTTGGTGTGTGACTCCTGAGCGAAAGGTGCACAGGCTGTTTTCTCAAGATGTGTGTGACAAGTGCTACACTTTTAAAATGCACGGTTTTATTTTTATTCCCAGTGTGGGAGGGAGTAGACAGCTGGCAGGGGGAGGACGCCCCCTGGTTTTCTCCAGTGAGTGGCGTGTGATTGTGAGGAGGGAGCCGGGGTGTCAATTTCTCACAGTTCAACCTTCACATGGAGAAATAAAGACGTCCCTGGCACCCACCGGCTGCCCACTGGCAACTATTTTGCAAATAAAGATCAACTTCTTCCTGGGTTGTTGCATTTGGCCGAGTGTCTGATCTAAGATTCAAGGAAGCCCTCCCCACCGAGCGTCTTCACCGTCTCCGTTTCAGAAGTTGCGTATGCAAGTAGTCCCCAGTCTTGAGTTGGTTGAAGGAGGAAGCTACTGCACGTAGAGAACAATTGCCGGAGCTGGTGCTAGCCACCTGCAGCACTGCAGAAGTCATGGGATTGTGACCAAGTCTTTGGTCCTCTCGAAGCTGTGGGATAACATGTAGGTACAGCTCCTCCAGCTAGGTGACTGCCACCAGGAAGCGAGTCCACTCCACATGTAGCGTGAGGCCCTGTGTATTCACGTGCACATCCCTCGGTCAGTCTGTTTCCTCACCACGCACTTTGGTCATTTCAGGATGGGGATACTGACAAACCCAGGACTTCCGAGTAGTAACGTTCCTTCTTGTGTTTGTGTGTCTTTCAGCCATCTTTAACCTCATCCCTGTGGGTCTTCGAGTGGTGGCCATTCAAGGAGTTCAAACCAAGCTGTATCTGGCAATGAACAGCGAGGGATACTTGTACACCTCGGTAAGCCTTCCGCTCTCTGTCCCTTTTGAAAAGCCGATGTTTCCTCTCATAGGAAACTTTTTAAAAGCTCTATCTGCATTGTCTTTGCACATTTCTGTGAGAAGGGGGCAAGTGTTCTTGATGGAAATATCACATTTGAAAGGTTTTCCTCTGAAAACCCTCTACTACTAATTTTGAAGCAGACATTTTTAGGGAGACAAAAAAAAAAGAAAGCTCTTTGAAACTGCCGGGCACATAGACCCATTCTAGCTGTGTCCTGGAGTGTTGGTCCCGCCCCTCATCTCCAGGAGCTTGAGGTTGTAGCTCATCTCCAAGGACTCTATCTTTCTAGCCCGCATGCATGCACTTCTCCTGGAGTATACATTACCCATGACCTTTTCCTTCCAAGTTCAGAATGAACAAAGTGAGACAAGGAACTTGAACAATGTCAACTACACTTTAGCCAGGGACATGGGGCCAATTTGAGTTTTCAAACTATGCTAACCTTTACCTATAGGCCAATGTTAATAAATGGAGAGAAAAAAATTAGCCAGTTTCTGCTTTGAGAAGTGTTGGCCCTGAGAACAATTTGTAATCTCTGTCTTCAACGGCAGGTAAAACACTTACCTTTGTCAACCGTTCCTCTCCCTGGTCACTTTATCCTAGCTTATAGAAAGACGCTTGGCTGATGGGGTGGAGAGCTAAGTCGAGTTTTTCAGAGGCCCCGAGGGGGACAGAAAAATGGGAAAAGAGGAAGTCAGACCACAAAGGACTTGCTCATTCAGTGGTCAGTCAGGTAGCTCCTGTCATATGGCAATAAATCGGCATAAACTTTGAACCCTGGGCACTGCAAGCATTCCTGTCAGACCAGAAAAACTGTCTGGTTGTCTAGTACCACAGTTCTCCTTCTTAATAAACGAAAGGTTTGAACTTATTGCAGCTATTTCGGAAGCTGCCATTTTTATTCATGCAAGGTAATGAGATATTATACATAGGAGGGGAGGGAATTTGTTTTTCAGACTGAAGTATTTGGGTAAAAGGATCTAGTAACTTCGTTGAGGTCAACAAACCACTTCAGCGGGACCAGATATCAAGGTAGGTCTTTAAATAAGTGACGGCTTTCTGAAACTCATGTGCAACGACATGTGTCACCCTGGACATAAGTTTGAAGAAGCCAATGCCAGCCTGTGTAGGGAAATTTTGGGACCAAATCGTGACATTTGTTTGGGGTTGTAAAACATTATGGTGCTCTGTGAGAAAGGGATGCTATTCAAATGGTGGCAAAATGTGTTAAAAACCACATTTTGTAAATAGTATTTAAGGAAGAATGAATGGGAAGAATCCAGTTGAGTCGAGTCATATGTCAGGTGACCCCCACTTAGGAAAGTGAAGGCATTTAGGGAAATGATCCAAAAAGCCTTTAAGCTGCCATTCAAAGTGACTGGTGGTCCATTGCACTGCTGACTGTTCGCATGAGCTCCTGTCTCAAAAAAGACGGCTCGTGGAATGGGAACATTGCAGATGGATGGCCTACACTAGGGGTCGGAAACCTTGAAGGTAGAAGAGCCCATCTTGCCCCTCACAGCAATTTAAGAATTATGCAAGAGCCATAAATACCCCCCCAAGCAAATGATATCACCATGATCTAGATAATAACCTTTCATTTTTTTCCCATTTTACTTCAGAGCCACATGTATGTACCAAAAAGAGCTGCATACAGCTCCTGAGCCTCAGTTTGCCTACCCTTGGGCTAGATCATAGACAATAAGGCGTTTGTAGTAAGGAGGTAAGATGCCTGATAATCAAGGAAGCCTTACAGGCAGAAAACAGAACCAGTCCATCTGCTCCAGCTCCAGGGAAGGTGTTGGATTCTCGTCCAGCAGAAAATGGCCAATTCTTCCCATTACTCTTTAAAGACTGGGGCTTGGAGTCTCTTTACCCTCTTCTTTGGGCACTCCATTTTGAAGCCATCTCACTTACACTGTGGTGCGCACGGTCTGTTAGGATGGATTCTGTCCTCTGGACATCAGCTGCTTGTGTTATGGAGGCCCAATAGCTCAACAAATTCTCATGCTTCATCAAAAAGAGAATATTCTCTGCTTTCTCTTGGATTGGGGTTGCTATCAGTTTTCAATGGCCATTGTTGATGGATTCTTGCTTGGTGTATGCCCTAGTCTTTTATAGTTATCTTTAAAGGGAAACGGAGATTGATGGAAATAGGGAGATAATAACGGGAATGTTGATCACCTGGGAATGTAGAGGAAGTGGGAGGGAGCAACATCATGTGACAAATAAGCAGAGGAAACGCTACAAGAGCGAATGTGACGAGGTTTGCACAGCCCTCCTTGATATGACGGAACCATCGAATCGTTTGATACGTTCATTTTAACTCACTTAAAAAAAGCGATGGTAACCAAAGAGAAAGGATCATGCACTTGTATGGCAGAACTGCCCTGTGCAGTTTCATTAATGAAAAAAACAGGAGTGGGCAATGGGCTAAGGAGGAAGCACAAATGGTCAGAAGAGACGAGGAGCCCCTGATGTGGGCGAATGGAACACGAAGAGTTAGGAAGTGAACCGCGGGGTCATCTTGTTGAATATCACTAAGGGCAGGCTGCCCTAGTGCAAGTTCAGTAGGAAGAGGCAAAAAGAGGGTACGTGGGTGAGCTCTCTTGGAGTTAGCCTCAACAGGATCTGGTGACAGATGGCATTTGAAAGGAATGGGATCACCATATCTAGTTTTCCTTGTGAGGCACTGCACTGTGCTAGGGGCCGCCAGTCACTCCATGGCTGGGAGGAAAGTGTTTTCCGGTAGAGACAGTTCAATAACAATGGGACTGGGACCGTGGGGTTAGGTGGGGCAAAACGGACCCTGGAGAACAGAGCGAATTTCACCTGTGGCCATTTGATGGTGACGTCATTGATCAAGTTGAGGAACGAAGGAGAAAAGATGACTTCGGGAAGAAGATGCCTGGGAGGAAAGGTTGCAGCATGGAACCGAAAAGCCAAGAAAGGCATGAGGGCTAGAGGTCATGAATGATGCCATGAATTTGAAACACTAGCCATCTGGTTAGCAGGCGAGCGCTTTAACCGTTGGGGCCCCAGCATTCTTTGAGCTTTGGAAGGGTTTTCTGATGTGTTGGCCTATCCTCACCCCGCTATTTCGCTTATGTATTTCTGCTATTCCCTCAATTTCTTTTTAAACTCAGTTGTACATTTGTTGCCATTTCTCTCCCCCCCTCCCCCCGCCCTGTCGCCCATTATAAAAACAAACACCACCTCCACATGATTCGCTTTCCATGATTGCTCTCAGAGTTTGTGCACTGTGCCTTCCCCGCTCTTTTGCTTGTTGCCATGGGGGACCGACTGGATGTAGGCTCCAGTGGCAGTGAGAAGCCATCTGTGGCACCGAGAATCATAATTAGCCACGATTTCATAACACATCTTCTTCTGTCCATGATGGAACTGGAGTCTGTCTAGAAATGGAAGGACATCGCACTGCTCTTTGTGTACAGAACTTTGTTCGTACTTTAGTTTTGCTTTAACAATAATTGGAAGTTGTACACAAGCCTGCAAGTAGTTCTCGAAACTAAACAGTACAAGTTTTTAGCTGTGTAAAACCAGTGGTAATACATTGAAACTGCTCGAAAATCACACTTATTATAGAAACTCAAGAATCTTAAGCTGTAAAATGCAGTTATTATTCATATGTCTAAATAAACCCCAGACCAGTTATTGTCAACTCATTTCAGACTCATGGTGACCTACGTTTGGGTAGAACTGTGCTCCATCTAGGGTTTTGCATTAACTAATTTTTCAGAAGTACATAATCACACCCTTCTTCCAAGGCACCTCTGGCTGAAATCATTTCAGTTAGTGACTCATTTGAACTGGCAAGGGTTCATAGTGCTGGCTTATATCATCATACAGAAAGATATTAAAATCTGTATTTATTCATCAATCAATTCCGACTGGTACTCTTAGCAAATATTTATTACATGCAAAATTTTTGACTTACATCAAACTTGTAAATCAACAAGTATACATAATTTGACTTCTAGTGCTATTATCAGAAAATGCTTACAGATGAAATAGAAATAAGGGGAAGGCACTGGTTTCATCCACTCAAGCACTTTAGGGAATAGGGAAATGAGATGGAAACAATTACAAAAGGAAATGAATTTAAATTAAATAGAACCAGTAACGTATCCAATAGAGAAGAAAATGATCATTTTCAAATCAAAATATCAAAGCAAAAAGGAATAGGAAATTTTATTTCCTTGTGATTACCTTTTTTCTGGTATAGTTCAATTGGACCACAAATTGTTGAATTTGGTTGATTCAATGTAAACTGAGAAAAATAGTGCCTACCCCATTTTGGAGCATATATGGAAACCACTCTTCACGCAGTATTCAAGGGCTCGAGAATGAAATACTCTGATTAGTAGATTTCAGGGATGATTATACACACAAATGTCCATGCGTTTTGAATGGATCACTCAAAACAGGACATGGAGGAAATTACATTATTTTACAGGAAGAACAGCTGAGCAAACAAGCACATTTTATTTGATATTGGATGCCTTTGCTAGCTCCAGGAACTAGATTTTATGGTATAAAGATGCTTTCAGTTATTGTGTTGGTGCTATTGAGCTAGACGTCATTAAAATTGCAATAGTGAAAAATAGCCCAATAAAGCTGTGTGCATCTTAGGTTTTTCCTTCAGAGCACCCATGAATCAGCATAATTTTCAAGCCCAAAATGCATTTCCCCAGTCACAGATTATCTCCCATGTCTAGTACTCTTTGCAGTTAATGGAAGACATTTTCACTTGGCCCCATTTGAATATCAGATTTGATAAATCTGGCTGTTTATACCTTCAAAGTCAGGTGCCTTCTCTTTATGGGCCTGATCAGGGGAGACCTTGAAGCTGGAAACTTTTTCTGGGTCAAGATCCAGTTTCTTTGGGGGTAAGAATGGTACTTCCTCAGAAATCAGTAAGACAATAGTAGTTGTAGCTG